AAGAAAAAAAAAAAAAAAAAAAAAAAAAAAAAAAAAAAAAAAAAAAAAAAAAAAAAAAAAAAAAAAAAAAAAAAAAAAAAAAAAAAAAAAAAAAAAAAAAAAAAAAAAAAAAAAAAAAAAAAAAAAAAAAATAAAAAATTAATTCCTTTTATTTTTAAAAAAAAATAAACGGGTTCGAAATGTGTCGTGTCGTTGTCGTATGTGTTTGTTCTCAAAGACACTGAAGTCACTGGAGCCAGCATTCATGGATGGTGCAAGCGCAGTCGGATTGTCTGCGTGTACTCGCTTGAAATAAGTCACTCACGGCACAGAAACAGCACAAACGACTGCCGAATGGGAGAATTCGATCACTTCCCCGTGTATGCCCTAAATCCATCATTTGCTTACTCGCTAATTTACGAGCAATGTATTAAGGTATAGGATCATACTTTGCGAATCCGTGGATTTGCAGGCTGACATCGGCCTTTGCCGATCGCTTTGATTATCCTACGTCGATTGCGTATTTGAACACACTGTGCCAATTCAAGTATGTACTTCTGCGCTTTGAAAAGAACTCAAAATTTTTGCCACGCTCGACAGAGCGTCTAGTACTTTAGTTCAAATTTGATAAAAAAAACCTGCCTCTGCCTTCAAAGTAGGAATATCGATCCCAGCTAAAATGGATATAATCAAGGGGCAACCCTCCAAGGATGCTTTGTTGGACGTTAACGAGTCATACACAGCCTGCCTCGACTGAGGTTTGACGGCTAGGACCACAATCCCTTAACACAAACACAAGACAAATCCATGGAAAATGTCAATTCAGGCAATATCTATCCAGATAATCTTATCCATCAGAGCCATATCCATTGAGATCACAGCTCGTTGTTCTGTGACAGGACATTCGAGAGCACTTGACACAGAAGTACCGCCTCCGATTGGAATAATCGCACAGTTGGTGCTCATTGCTAGCGTGCGATGTTACTGAAATTTCACCCAGCATTCAGTAGTAACAACTTTTCCTTGTTTCTAAACGTGTCTGGAGTACTCTAGTCAAAGGCATTTTGTGCATTTCGAGATTTTACAGAGCTACAAAATAGATTTTGCCCTGTAGTTACCGGCGCTTTGCATGCAAAAAACGCCTCGTCCCATGCGCGCGACAAGGAAAATGCTTAGCGCTCGTCGTCAAAGTGTTAAACTCCACTAGAACATGTCGCGATCCGTGCTTTTGAAACAAACAATGACTAGCAACAATACCGATTTGAAAAGTTGCGTTCTTTGTTATAGACAGCGAAAAAAATCATCAAATTATCGAGAATTGATGTTTATTAGTGATTTCTTGGAACACATCCAATATCAGCAATATGTTCCCTGAAGAAATCAGTAACCATCTCCCACTTTTGGTGAGGTCATGCCTTTTAATGCCACCAATGTATAATGGTTTTTGCCCAGATGTCAGGAGGCTGTAATGGAAGAAGTTGATGAGACCTCCTGGAGTCAACACAGGTTTTGGTGGTTTGAGTAACCAACCACCATCGGTGGATAAGGTTGATGCTGTCCACTAACTGCTGGTAAACTTGCAAAATCCCTCGGACAACCCTCATAAGCATTGATAGCTCCAATGTCTCAAGGTCTGCATGCTTGTAGAAGTATTTCTTTCGTTGGTACTCGCTGTTTTGCTTCTTGTACACTTCAGATTTTCGTTCCAACGCAACATTCTTAGGGTGAAGAAGCGTTGGGTACATAGATTCTGAGGCGTGTCGCTGTGTTGTTAGGTAGCACTATCTCGTTACTATTGTTATTCAGAAAATGCACTTGTGTATTAACCCAACACACTTTGCATAAGATCTGGAAAACCCTTCCCTCTTTTCGCGAAGAACGCACCTCATGATTCTGTAATTACTCGGAGAGCACATCGACTGGCAATCAAATCAACTAGCGATCATCCAGAAGAAACACACCTTTCTCTTTAAAACCACGAATGAAAGCAAATTAGACAGGGGTCAAAGTGTAAGCGAACACATGAGGAACAGCGACTGGTGCAGTGGTTTTGCACCAGCGATAATGACTTTGCCTCAAAATTGAAAACTTGATACGCCCACAGCTGACTCAGTAAAACTTACTTTCCAAGCATAACCCACAAAAGGCGTTGCTAGGCATAACCATAGCTGAAGTTGTCACACTTTCAATCTACTAAAAACTTTGACACAAAGAAAATCAGCAATGAAACTTTATTACTTTTCACAACTATACATAATCTCATATTATAACGTCAGCACTGGGGGCAGTAGCACCGAGATAGTACACAACTAGAGAGCACATTTTGATAAATTAAAAAGGAATACCCATAACCGTGGAAAACGCCTAATCGAATATAATGACCATACGTGATAAGAAAATACAAGACAAATATGCGACCATGAATTGATCATAAAATAACTAAACTGGTGAGATTAGCCATGTCTTCTTCAATCTTCATTAAACATTGGAAGAAGATTTTTTAGTGAATGTAGGCCATTCAAAGATGAAAGCTCATTTGGCAACAGGATTTTGATGAAATTCAACTGTAAGCAATGTTCTTTCTGCAGTAAGCATTCCAACAACAGTGCACCTTGGCCAGCTTTTGAGTTCAATTGGGGAGACCTGACAGTGCAAAAGGGGAAACAGATGAAGTATGTTACTATTAAACGATATTTGGAGTCCAGAAGTTGATTTGTCGTTAACCACCACGCTTAAAAAACAGAGCATATGAATAGCCGCATAGTGGGGAGATGTAACAAAAATGGGATTGGTCGCTCCTTGATTGTTTTCCACCCGCTCATGCTCCAGTCAGCTCTGAACACCTCACTTTCAAAGCCAACTGGCTCAAAGCCAAATTCCGAGTCCTGCTGAAAGGCCCGACACAGGCGCTCATTTGATGTGTGCGGTAAAGAGGGAGCTACGTATATAGTTACGAAAGAAAACACGAAATAAAGTATAGTTTTGTGCATTGTGTAATTGCTGACACTAGGATTTTTGTCTAATTTTTTGCCTCTGCTCTGTACTCTCATGGAATAATAATGCATTTGGACACACCTTTGTGATGCGTAAAAATAATTTGGTTCTAATACTTCCATCTATTTGCAAATTTGAAATTGGGAATCACGCTGTACTTATAATCTATGTAGTTAAAAACAAGGCATTGAGATAAATGCTCCTAATTCAAAAACACTGTAAAATCGCAAATCTCTTACCAGAGGCGTGATGTTGCGGTGTTCTCTGCGCGGTTGACACGAGGGATCGACTTGATTGATGATTTCGCATTTATTATTGTAATTGCCACCCAGCAGCATTGGCAGAAATTCAAATAAACCACTATTCGAATTCAAAAACTAAATCCTGGGCAGAGAACATGAGTAACAAATAACGCGCTCGAAAACAAATCAAAGTCATGGAAAAATTCTATGAAGGATACCGTTCAGAGAAATATGAAATGAGAAATGCAACCCTGCCAAATATTTCCAGATTCTATTGAAAAAGTGATGATCTGAATAGGAGGACCAAGACGAGCGCTGTATGTTGATCAGTGATATTCTTGAACGTGTGTAACAAATTGGATCAACGTTATCCACTTCGGATTGAATTAAGCATCTGAGCTGCCAAAGTTTTGTCTTGAAATGATTTCACAGACAGGTGGACGGTACTGATAGAAGTGAAGCGAGGAAATGATAACGTGAAGCCATTGAGCAGGTCCTTCGAACCGCGTAAGTTTCACAGTTTTTAAGAAAGTTCAGTGGTATCAGAAGTTATTCTATAGTTCCCGGCGTCTTTGCTGTTCCTATGATCACAGGGACAATGATATCGAATTGATCGAGGTCGAGCTTGAAAAAGTAGCTGATGGTAACCAGCCGATCTGCATGTATCGACGTGGGCGGTAAATCAGACGGTATCGAAAACTCAATCTCTTTCGTTTCGGGACCCGATCCCGGCCTGGCTTTGCAGGTACCCTGAAAATAGGATTTTTAATTACGTTTTTGAAGTACAAGTGCCATCATAAATTCATCAGAGACCATGTGGAAGCTCTTGAGTGTTCACCCAGGTGCTCTCACATGCAACAATTCTGAGATGTTTTAAGAAAGAAAGAGAAACTCGAAGAAATTAAAGGATTTACGGATCCAAAGAAAAGTAAGACTTAATTGAGTGAGCCCCTCATCTTCCCTCTAAAGTACTAACCACAGAACTAAAGGGGGGAAGGGAGAGGCGATGAAAAAACTTACTCAAGCCGGTGTCATACTTTGCGAATTCAGCGAATAGCCAGCGATTTGAGGGGTAAGAGTGATGCACCACTTTGTTCATGGCACTGTTTGGAAGTGACCGGAGCCCACTCTTTCGCAAATCCAATCTCGCCGCTTTTCCGGGCTCACAAGGGCGTGAGAGAGCGAGAGCACGTAAGAGCCCGGGAAAGTGGCTAGAGTGAACGTGCGAACGAGGGTGGCTCCGCCATTTTCTAACTTTTGTTGGTGTAAATACCATACTCGACCGCTGGTGGATAGTTTGAAAAACTGGTGCATAGTTCGATCTGCTTGTGCATCACTTCCAACATGATTCACTGGATCCGGGAAGTATAATACCGGTCTCACAGTTAACTAACTTGAAAGCGAATGCTCTCACTGGTGCGGCGTTCAAGCTTAGGGAGGCCCTGATGGATTCGTGACCAATACGACGTTATCTGGAGATCAGGAGGGAATTCAGAGCTAGTGGCTCTGAAAAGCTATTCACCAGTAGACCTAACGAAGACATCATGTAGCAGGTTTAGGCGCGAAAAATCACTTAAGTCCTCTTCGAACTCACTGCGTGGCAAATAACTTCATATTCCGTAGCCACCGAAGCAGTAAACAAGAGCTGGCTTTGCTTATGGGATGGGGTGGGGCACGTGAAGGATATTCTACCACACAAGCAAGATCTCCTGACAGGATATTATCTAGGAAGATAGCCCGCAAATATCTTATAGTGCAGTAACCTTTCAAAGACAGGCTGCTACTGCTGAGATGCACTTACATGAGACTCAACAGCTATCGTAACGCTCTTTCGGTCTACTAAATGAGCCTCGTATCTATTCGCAGAGATGAAATCCAGTTGCTGGCACAGAGATATCAACACACATTCGTGATGCTCCTGAAATATGACAGCAAAATCGCTGAGGAATTCTGATAAACTTTTCTCACCAATCAGGATCTATCTGAAATCTATTTTCTGTGATAAGCACATCCTATCGCAAAAGGAAGGCAAAATTTCTGCAGCAGGAAGCATTTGGCACTTGAGGCGTTACTTTCACCTTCTTCTCGGAGCTTTTGAGATTTTCGGTCTCCGTTGGATCGCTTGTCACTTGCTCTATTACCTAGCCTAAGGTTAGATGCTGAAATATTGTATGTCAACTAACCTTCTTTCGCTGCCATCGTTTCCGCCGTGTTCGATCCTCTACAGTTAGAGTGATTCGAGTGGTTTCACCTATAAATGATTTCATCTACGAATTCAATGCTCGAGGAAAGCATTATTTTGAGCAGTTCCCTCCAGAAAACTCTTGCTCGCAAACTCACATATCCATTGCAGGGAACGGGAATTGAAACCAATGGCATGGTCGGCCTCGCCTAGGTGCGCATCGTGCAAGTGGCATCCAGAGCGAATGGCATCCCACCCACTCCCGTGAAAGAATCACTGCTCTGATCATTGCCGATCGACCCACCCCCTCCCTCCCACTACATCTAATCCAATAACTTTCGTCGAGGGGTTCTTCAATGCACGCTTCTCCTTGGTGGTAGGATCCGGGGTTAATTTCTGCAGTCGCAAAGCGTTTCATTAGATGCTCACCTAATATGTATATGCTCAGATCGCCCCACTTAGGCCTACTTTATTCCTGTGATAACTTTTCTCATTAGGAAAAACTCAGATTCTCAAAAAAAATCTTTGAAATTTGATGGCCTACCAGGTAGCAGTCCGACTTCTTGCACCTTCATAGAGGCTACGATCGTCCCGCGTTGTCTACCACAACATCCGACGATCTATAATGTCCAGAGAAAATTGTAATGAGAAAAACAATAGTATTCAGAAAAACCATGCTAACCTAATGTAGTGAAGCAGTATTAACGTTGCATTTTTTTGCTAGTTGGAAAACCATTTCTTCAGAAAAAAAACATATTCGAACTTTTGCATGTCCTTCCTACTACATATTTTTTGAGTTCATCAGTTCTTGGTTATCTGTAATTGGACATACCAGCTCTTCTTCTGTTGTTGCCGTTGAGTCCCGCATATACGGAGCATCGAGGTTCAAATACGGGTAAACTTTGAAAGTTTTCTCTGAAAATAGTTTTTTTGTGATTCAGTGACAGCGATGGCTGGGAGGCGAAGACGTATTGACACCGTTGGTGGTAGAAGGGTGTCAAGAAGTAACAAGAACGCCCCTAATGCACTGATGGGGCTAGTCCACTAATGACACCCTATGGTGTTCAAAACCGCCCCGCCCCAAGCTTTTGTGTCCATCGTCTTCAAAAACAAATATGGAAGATATATGTCAGTAGAGAAGTCATCAGTAAAAACAAAAATTGCTTAAATCAAAGGAAGTCGATGTCAAAAAAGTACACAATATGTGCATAGGAGAAGGAAGGAAACTGAAAGTTATCATAATGTATCTGCCCCTTTCCTATTTCCTTTCCAAGACTTACCCGCCACCAT